AAAACATGGAGGCAAGAACTACCCTAATCTACATGTAAATTAATCATATATGCGTGTTCAACATATCATAAATATATTATCCTTCTCCTAATAAAACTATGTAACAAACCCATATCCAACACATAATGAACTTGTTCCAAATTTGTATATTATAACGTTGGTATTCTAAACATATTGAAAATACTGTGTATAGTCGCACACTGTTTTGGAAACCGAGGACAGAAGAAAAGACTTTAAACGATCGTAAAATAAATCTTATAATTGAGTCCAGATTACAGATTACACGAGACATTGTTTCAACGACGAGTAATCTGTAATAGTAAATTACTATCGCGGCTGGTATAATCATTGCTCTCTCGAGGCAGCAATTAATTATCGTTCATTGCCGCGACTTGTCTGCAGCTGCGTGCTTCTCTGTATACCGGTTCACTCCAGCACGAAAGCTCGATTCATCATTGTGTTTCTCTAGCCTTCCATTCATGCCTCGATCAAAATTCTGACGCCTACTAGTCTACGCCTCTTCAATTAAAATTCCCACCACCGAATACACGAGGGGAAAACACGCGCCAAGGCTTCCCTTGGGGGTCGGAGTGTCTATTTCTATTCGTAAAAAACAAATGCACCGGTGACGAAAGAGCCGGATACGCGTCGCGAGCTTTTCTTCTGTCGTCTGTTCCTTCTCTTGATTCGGACAAGGGGGAGAGGAGCGGTGAGGAACCGGATTTCCGAAAAAGGGAAAGCGTCTCGAAATGCAGGTTGCCTGTGTGACGCGACTTCGTCGCGAGTTCTGTCCGCCCACGAATACGATAAATTATGCGAGGAGGCGGCAACGACGGGGTCACCATAAAAGAACCTGTTACGTTCCAGAAATTAATCCGGCGAACAGGCATAAAATCGGCCGGTGACCTACGCTGTTCTCCATTGTTTTGGAGAGTAATAATTCCCTGGAAAATGAATTTTACACCCGGCCATGATTCTCGTAATCGAAGTCATTCTTGCATGTACGATTAAGTTCATTTATTGTATTAAGTGGTAAATTCTTTGGAGTATTTTCTGCCGATATCCGTATTACGTAAAAAGTTAAACGTCCTGTATGAAGTTTGCCGTGTTTCAAACCCACACACACACAGATACCGATCAGTCTATAAAATCAAGTGCCTAGGATCACAAAAAGGGGTTCCTCTCTCTGATTAGCAGACCAATAACCCGAGAAGAGATAAAACATGGATGGGGTTATCCCGCGATCCCATTCACTTAATTGTATCGCCGGTATCCTATCATTAAATAAGTTTCATCGTTGCTCGGTAATAAAGCACGTTCGCCACGACAGATAAACCTTAGGCTGTTCCAAATATCGAACAAACAGAACACAAATTATGGTTATCCATTTACGCAATTCAAGTTTCGTTTAGGAGGAGGATCGATGAGTGCGAACTTGCGTTGCTACGGTTACCGCGATAATCCTTGATGTACTTTTAATTGAATCATTATCCCATAAATAGAGAACACGTACTATCTATAATTGCCTAACTCGTTCCTGCTAATGATAGCTTCCGTCTGATCAGACCGCGCCTTTCGACAACTTGCAGGTACGTTTCGTGTCGAGGATCGCAATCACGAACACCAGGTATGAGTATGCAATGGGTGCAGCGATTTGAATATGCAAGTTTCGAGGGCAGGGTCGTATAACTTCTTATAGAGATTTTATGGTCGACGTTTTTATTTGCTTTTAGGAGAGGCTGAACTCTGAACTAAGTACTATATCCTTGGCTCTTTATCCTTTTTATCGATCGGCTAGAACCGGTACGCCCAATGTTTCGTACAAAACAAACAGCAAAGAATAGAGGTCTGTACGACCGCAGTATCCGTACTGCAACCGTACGACGTTATCGTGAAGTCGAAAGAAATATAACAGTTTCCGAGGATTTACCTTGAAGAAAAAAATAATCGGGCCACTGAAGGAAATACGTTGAAAAGTTTTTCTAAACGAAAATAGGTCGCACGGCTTAACGTCACGCGATGCCACTATTAATCTGCACGAGAGTAATGGTGAAACAATGTTCCCACGGAATTGCACAGACATCCTGTACCGTTTAGAGAATCAACTCCCGACTTTCTGCTGTCGTTCTATGAACTTTCGAATCACTGTCGGGGAAACTTGACGAACGAGTCAACTTGACGATCCATCAGTATCAATTTTTAATGGAAATATTGTCGATACGTTAATAAGAGATCCCAAAAGTCGAAAGGGAGGAGAAATTTGCGTGGAATCGAGAACAAATTACTTTTTGAAGAGATATCGTTTCACATTCTTATGGTACAGACAGTAAGTGCAACGAGGATCGAAACGACAGGTCAATTGCAGTTGGAGTAGAAAGATCGATGATTTCGAACCTCGTAGGATGCGAACACCGATGCGACGCAGGAAAGAAATCGCAATCAGCTTGTTACGGATGCAACGCGTGAACTGGGAATGCAGCAGCAGCTGTTCGATTCCGTGCTCGTGTCGACGATACACACATGCACAAAGCCGATTCGACTCATCTCGAACTTCAGGAACGATAAGGCTAGCTCATTCGTTCCATCTCGGAGTTCCATCGTCGAGGGAATTGATATCGCGGAAATGAAAACTAGTTGCAGCGCAATGTCGTTTGCATGAAATTACAAGCGATATTATTATCGTGCGTACTTCTTGGTAATAATAAATCATCCACGTATGTCGAAGCAAAATGTATACGTAGATGTAAATAACCGGAAGAGGCAACTTTATAAAACACTCAAATAAATATGTCTGTGCTGAGAAAGGAATGGTATCCTAATTTCTACAGTGGATCTCCTCTTTGTATGCGGTTTATAAAGAAATAGTGAATTACTTCACGAAAAACACATAACAGCGAGATGTCTTGTAGGGAGTAAGAGTTAATAACATGGATCGGTGATGATGAACAGTAAAAATGCAATCGATTGACACGACGATCTCGGACCACCCAGAACCATTCATCTCTTTTGACAACACCGCGTTCCCTTCGATCCCGTTGCACTCTACTGACGAACGATGCCATAAGCATAAGCGATTCAAGTGCCGCTACTCGGTGTTCTCCAAACTGGAGGAAAGAGGAAACGCGCTCGGCATTATTCGCAGCGGCCAACCATGTATTCGAGCGTGTCATTGTTCCACATCTTTACGAAATTATTCCCATTCTTATAGATCTATAAATACGTGTTCATCTCGAGGCAATTTTAAACAAACTGATTGCCTAATAAATGCATAAACAGTAAAAGTATAATTAAACGAGATTGTTAGCAAAAGGTTAATAATCGTTTTAGCTCCAGTTTCGATTGAGTCGTTGCTTAAGGTACGAACCAGTTACACAAATCAGTTCGATTCCATAGAAATAAAAACGATCTCATGAGGTCGATAACTGGAATTTAATGCCATATACGACGGCACTGCTATCCGGTAGTAGGTACAACGCAAGAATAATTATACCGGTCACGCAACGTTATAATTTGTTTTTATATTCGAGCCACCCTGTTTAAGAAAAAAATATTAACGCTGTTTCCGTGTTATCCTTTCAATTTTATAATCAACCTCGGTGAAAAAAATCGGCTATTTCGACAAGGATATATCGTACATTTTCGCGTAAATGAAACGGGTAACGGTTTGCCCGTACAGCAGGTGGCTTTGACGTGTTTTCAACGTCATCCGACTAGATTTCTCAAACGGTTCTGCGGAAGTGAATGATGGGAATGAGATCGCGTTAAAAAAAAATACTGGCACACTTCGTTCGAGGAGTATCCGTAAGTAGAGGAGACAAGTAGCTTCGAAGTTAGAGTGCGCAAGGTGTCAAAATAGGCAAGTCACCGTGTAGAAGAAACGTTTACGTGGTAACATTAATTGATGTACTTTAAATTTAACAATACACTACTTAATGCCAAGACGAAAGACTCTGGATTGAGTGGTGCAATCGTTAAACGAGCCACTTGGTATCCTGTCGAAGAAGAAAAAAGGGGGAATTGACCTACCTCATCGCGAGCAAACTTCCACTCGAAACTTCCACGATTCTGTTCACTGTTCACTTCCACTGATCATTACGATATAAACCATGCACCGACTGTCGCATGTCTAAGTAGTGGTTTCTTATTCTATAAAAGAGTACTTAAGAATACTGTAATTTCGATACGCTGATTCGTAAAGTAATTTTATTTACCAGTCGTTATTGGGTACAGAAACACGGCAGTAGTGAAAGAAAAACAAAACATGACGTACGAGAACCGCGGTTCCCTATGGTAATCGATAGTCACTTATAGGTGGAAAGAATCTTGACAAATAGAGGGAAACGTATAAGTCATACATAATACTGAATATAAAGTAGTTGACGCGCATTACAAAAATTCCACTTGACTCACCTTAATTGCTCTTAAAAACTTTGAATTCGAAAGCTCCTTCACGCCATAATCGTTACAGTAGGGCACTAAGAGTCCGTTTCAAGGCCACAGATAGTGGATCAGTGAATAAACGGGAAACTCGATAATTCGAATTGTATACGAATTTTGATGACAAATGAATACGACGGATCGGGAAAATAATACTTGAGACACTATTTTGATATTATTTCACTAACGGTCCCGGCACAACGTGTTCCGGACACAAACAAAAGGTGACTGAAGAAATCTGAGTATTCTAACTAACTGTTTATTTCGTCGATTTCAATCTTGAAACCCTACCCTCTTGTTCTCGAATCTATTGAGGAGCGAGAAACAGGCAATATGCATTTTTAGGAGAAAGGAACAGCACGCGTTGACAGATCGAGAGGAATAAAAAACGCGGAAAGGATGACGAGCCTTGTCACGCTGTGTGGACTTATGCATGTATGTGTAGTATGTAGATTTCGCTGGTGTATCGTTACTCACGTATGCGTGCGACGTGGTACTCCTAGGTTCCAGGATTGCCAGCAAGTTCTTTACACAAAGATTTCACAATGATCGAACATTCGACCTGACGATATCACACTTTGTAGAATTTAAACGGTCAGGGTGTGCCCCGAATTTCCATGCGACCAACGGCATCCGTCAAACGTGAACTACTGCCGCCATCTTGATACGAATCTACGCTTACGACGACGCTCGCCGGTAAGTCGCGGAACTAACAGTACGAGTTGCGCGTTGAATTCGAATTTTTTGTACAAAATATTATATCCCTCAAAAGATGGTTTGAATCTTATTACTGTCTCCGTTATGTGATAGTTTACATCAATCAACATAAAAGTTTATGGAATAATTTCGAAAATACGAAATTTAATACCCCTGAAAATGCTTATTGAATATTTTAAACTAAAAAGAATGTACGCTCTATTTCAGACTGTATCTAACTATCCAAATTATAATTAAAAACTGTCTTTAAAGAGTCACTAAGGACAACACAGTCTAAATGATAATACTTTTTTCATTAAAGATAAAGTTATAATATTAACGTTGTCACTTTTTTTTCAATGTTTCATCGTACACATCGAATAGGTTACGACATTGATTTGATCTTCACAATTCTTTCTGAAATTTTATTGTGCGTATAATGTCATTTAATCAATAAAATCATATTAAAACAAAGACGAAAACCACATGTAGAAGTTTTAAGTGATTGTAAAATATAAGAATTCTGTGTTCCAAGACATTATATAATGTGAAATAAGGTTAAGTGCACACTATCTGCGATATGGGAACTGTAAATGAACGGGGTTCGCGAATAATTCGCGACGTCCCTGGCTTCGATCGAATCAACGTTTTCGCCAGTGGTAGTAGCAGTTAGCAGTTCTTGGGCAGACAGAATGCAACTGCGTGGTGATACGGAAGGACAGACCTAATTCGCTAAAATTGGAATCGTGTGCAATATCTGGTACGTTATTATCGAAAAAACAACGTAACGCGTTTGAAGAATATTTGATTTTGATAAACGGGGCGATCAAAGAATAGAGAGAGACTTTGTTAACCGACTTTTCGATGTACTGGTTTCAGAACACGTGTGGGTCGAACGACCACGTGGTCCGCATGTATCGAAAAGCAAGTGCCGCATACTCCGGTGAGTGCATTTAGATAAACTGCGATGTTACTTTTATCTTCGCTACACCTGTATGAATAATGACACGTCAGTTACCTACATAAAAAATCATTAAAGGCATTGTCAACTGTCTGATACGCCGATAATTAGCTCTAAAAACGATAACCTACGAGAATGGTATTTTCGAACAGATAATAGGCAAACGTATCTAGATTTTTTTTTAATCAAAAGCTCAATATTCAGGGAAGCTAAATGCACTTATTAAAATATGTACTACTACATATCTCTGTACTAGATAACAAAAACATGTGATATAGTCTTATCAATTTATAAAAGTATTTTGTAAGTAAATTAACTGGATAAATGTACTATTGATGCAGAGATAAGGGCACAAAGACTGATAGAATAAGAATATATAAGTAACAGTTTATACTGGTCACCTTAAAAGAATATAGAAAGTAATGGCTGAAGAAGAACCGCAAGAAAAGAAATTTAAACATTCTGTCATCTCTGATTTTATACTATCAGCAGAGTTTCAACAAATATTTCGTGAACACTGGCACAATTTTACTGATATAAAGACAGATGATCTTGAAATTATATCGAAACCATTTAGAGTGTGTAGAATTTCAAATTTTATCAGTAGCGAAGAAGTAATGGAAGAAATAAAAAATGATTTACTCGATATTAGAACTAGACGAAATTCCATAGATCTTTATCAGTTCGAACAGACCGATGATTTCGCCAGCTTTGACGCAGAAAATATAAAGCTACTGTATGATGCCTTTCAAACGGATTTTGCAACATGGTTAGAGGAAAATACCAAAATAGAGTTAAACAAAATGATAGACATGTCAAGCTCTTCCTACTATGATACAGATTTTTTACTTTGTCACGATGACAACCTGGGTGACCGTAGAATTGCTTACGTATTGTATATTTCGAAGCAGTGGACTGAAGAAGATGGAGGTACGTTAGATTTGTTCGACACAGATGAAGATGGTCTGCCAAGAGATGTTGTAAAGTCATTGGTACCGGAGTACAATTCCATTGTATTCTTCGAAGTTGTGGACAATTCTTACCATCAGGTAGCCGAAATTATTTCGCCCGATAAATCACGCTGGTCCATTAATGGTTGGTTTCATGGACCAAAACAAAGCACCAAGCAACCAAGACCAGAGATGGAACCTGACTGCATCCCATCACTAGATCAAACGGTAAACTTGGACGAGTGGGTGACAGAATGCTACTTATTTAGCAAGGTAAAAGAGGATATCCATATGGATATGGAGAAAGACTCATACACGCACTTATCCAGTTTTTTGAAAGATGAAATTTACGAGAAGCTTGCGACAGATTTGATGTCAGAGACAATCGTTTGGAAAAAGGTAGGACCAGCGGATATTCGTAAGTACGAAGTGGCGGACGAAGATACATTGCCGGACTTACTGAAGCAGTTATGCACTATGTTCAAATCAATTACGATGTTTAAATTATTAAAAGAATACACGGAGTTGGATTTGGTAGCGGAGAAAGAAAATATGAATCCGAGGATGTTTTTGGAACTTCAGAGGTGGTCGGGCGGTTGCTATACTTTGATACACGACAAACCGATTTTGAGTGATTACAACGAAGACCCGAAATCTCTTGCTAGCGAAAGTGATGAAAGTGAAGCGCTCGATGAAACGGAAGGAGATGGGTTACAATTATTGAACAAGAGTACCAGGGAAGATCAGGAAAAATCGAATAGCAATAACAGAAGTTCATCATCAGATTGCGGCACGCCAGTAAGCATTAGAGACGAAACAGACGACATCGAGGATGAGATAATGAGGAAAATACTGAAGTCGAAATCTCCTCGTACGAGGAGGAAGTATTTAGTGCATCATGCAGCTATGTTAAAAATGGGCGATCGTTCACCACGGAAGCCTAGAATTCTAGATACGGATGAATCTGACGTGTCTGATATTGGAGATTATTTATCTGATCCTTTGGAGTGTTCGTTGGAACGTTCCGATGAGGAAGAAGTCGTAAAACCGGAAGAAGTTGTACCAACTAAAACACAACCTACGGGATCTCTTGACCTAATACTTCAATTTCACGCGAACAATGCACCTCAAGATGAAAGTACTATATGTTACTTGGACCCTATGACAAGCGACGCCACACTGATGAACATACCACCAAAAGACAACCATCTTTCTATCGTTTACAAGGTCGGTAACACCTGCCGTATTCACAGATACGTGAATCATTATCATCCAGATTATTTTTATAATCTGATTTGTACATACTATGAATAATAATTAACCATAGCGCTCGTGTCGCTTCGCAAGTCCCGTGAACGAGCTGACGATTGTATAATGAATTGCGAACAAAGATTTCTCGCTCTTGACATGTATCATAGTATTCGTATTAATAAAATTATCAGTATTTATCGTCGAGCAATAACTTCTTCGTTGTTTATTTCTACCCTTTTCACTACACATACTTGACAATCTTACGCTGCAGATTTCAAGGAAAAATACTCGTGCGTCTTACGAAAATTATAATGGAGATTAAGATCATAATGCAGCAAACATTCTCAATTATTTTATTGGATGCGATACATCTATCGTATATGTTCACGCTTACGGAATTTACATCAGGTGCAATTAGTTTTCATGCGAGGATTTGAGTATTCTATTTTTACGGTGCTAAGGATACTTGGGAGAGAATATATCAATCAATCCAAAAGCAATAGGAATTTTTTTTAAGTATTGGAAGGAGGAAAAGAAAATTAAATAAAAAATAAAGCTTACGATTTGGAAGCGCTACTATAATTGCTTTCAGGTTGCTGTTGCGTCCCAGGTTGTGCAAAGCTTTGCTGTTCCTTGCCATCCTTAATGATTTTCGTGGTGACCTAAGATATAAAATCTCTCGATAAAGATAACTTTATTAAACTTCGTTAAATATGAGGATAAGAGAAATGGTATAACAATTCTCGAATTTTCTTTGCGTTTTATTTTTGAACCGTTCAAGCCGGAAGCTATTAACCGACACGCCTGTTATTTACCTTCGCAACCCTAGACTACTTAAGCAACAATCGATCGTTACCAGTCGCACGAAATACGATAAGAGTATTGTAAGAATGTCATTACAAAATCTTGTAGGCTTAATTACCTGAGTACTAGGAATCCCGGCCATGCGTTTTCGAAGTTCGTTCAGTTGCAACTCTCTCTGGAAGCTCATATCGTTTTCTTGTGAATCTTCTTGCAACCCATCATTAATCGACTCCGAGGAATACTCTACTTGCACCCAGGGACAGGTCGTCGGTGACGCTTGCAAGGAATTCTTGCTTCCCGGGCGAGAAAGTCGAGGAGAGAGTCGTCGTAGCAGCGAAATCAGTTTCGATCTGCAAAAGTTGTATTTCCCATTAGTTGTCGTTTCCAAATCGAGCATTCGGGTATTCACTTGCGATAGAACGGCGACTATGTACTTCGTGCTAGGAGTTTGAAGGTGATCAGAGCTAATCGCTCCACTCCTCGAAAGCTGTTCGGCGCTACGCGTTGTGTCCCTCCAATGCAGTTTGTTAATTGATCTTCCAACTCGCCAATCTAGACTGCTGCTCTGACGCGATTGAAAGCCTGAAATGTAATTTAGAATGCTACTCGTGTGGCTCTAACGCTAATTCGACAATAACGGTACAATATACGGCCATCAAAGTTGGAAGCAAATTTCCTACCTTGTTCGCGCGTCGTTTGATTAATCCGCCAATCTAAAGAACTACTGCTTCTATTCACGGTATAAATGTTATCACAAGATTTTGTAGCAAGATATGTGGTCTGGTGTCGACGTCTGAGCAGTTTCGAAACTGGTCCCAAATTCCTGAAACGAGTCAACGCCGTTAGCGACGAACGAAATCGGTAGATGAGAAAAATAGCGCAATGTATACACGTACGTACTTTTTGAACTTCCGTGTCTGTTCGATAGGCGGTTTGCTCCCGCAAACTACCACTTTGACTTCCGGTTCCGGGCAGTACGTGCCCACACGAATGTGGCTGTAACTGCTACGGACACCGTCTAGGGACCGGACGTTACCGCGCTCGTTCGCAGGTACGCGGACGATTTCAATTTTCGGCCTCCCTTCCATATTTTTCCCTCTCTTCTATATCACTGGCCCAATTTATTTTATTTCACACACGACAGCACATGTAACACTCGTCAGTCACAGAAAAATAATGGAAACTTCAAGACCCGTTATTTCCGCGATTCGTTAAGGCATTGGTTCCGTTATGCTATTATCGATTATCGACGATGTGTCTCCTCACACGATTATTTCCAGTTTTCTCTCAGAAACTGTGATCGCGGATGTTCTTAAAATAGGAATGGAATCCTCGTGAGCTACTTCTATCTAAAGTCCTCTCGTTGCTGTACCACGTCATAACGGTTAATTCTTCACAGCGTTCGGTACGCGCAGCCATTCTATCAAAAATTCTCGTCAATCCGTTGAGCACGTGCGATCGTTCGAACCACTTCTCTTGATTCTCTTCGGTGCAATAACTTCACGGGACACGTTCATTAATTTCATTAGAATCTTCGTTTATTTGCTGGCACGATCGCGGCTGACGTCGCACATTAATTGTATCGTTCTTATCAAGACACTTTATTAGTTTCTTTACAGGTTTCTCCACAATTTCTTTGGTTCGATTTATTATCTTAGTAACGTTTTTAAATGCTGATTACAGAATATAGATACACATATATGTATAATTATAAAGGGTCTACAAATATAGATGTGATTCTGATATAAAAATGGTTCACTTTACTCTGTTTATTATTAAAAGGCTTCACCACTTCGCGCACAGGTTCGAAGGAAATTACTTCTTGTCATCATTTGCAAACACGTGTGGATTCTGTAGTTCTGCTTCTTTGTACGGTTTCACTCGCGATGTATCTTTAGCTTGAATCGTATCAAACTGCAAAACCGGTGGCCCCAATTTTCTAAATAAAGAGTTGGGTATTAACGGTGATTTTTCTCTATCACGATTGCGTCGTTGGACGCTTATTTTCGAGCGGTGATTGTGCAATCGTCAATTATGATTGTAGAGGACAATACACGGCATGACTTACATTAGACGATTGCTCATACCCAGCTAGAATAAGTTGCGACAGCAAAAAGAATACGGAAGATTAAGTTCCTTTTTGTTCTACTTGAAATAAAAGTTTATCCATCTTCGAGCTAAGTTTTTCACAATTTCAGTTTCCTTTGACAAGAGATCGCTTTATGTATTCACAAAGGAACTGGAACAATACGTTTTCGAGTCTTTTATATACATTAAAAGAATCATGTTTCGCGGGTAGAAGAGCGTAAAGAAACGAGTTCGCCTGTTCCACCCGAGGAACGACGCGATTCGAATAGCAGATAGTATTTGCATCGACGAATTCCTGTTATGAGTAATTAATTCGCGCGTGAGTTGTCAATGGAAAGCCACGCGGTTGCGCTCGAAAGAATTGCAAGCAACACCGACGTCTGTCTTCTGAGACGCGACTTCTGATTACGAAAGAAAATACATGATGATTCGATGCATCATGAAGATACAGTTCGAAACTAATGTTTTTGATAAACAAATTTCATGAACTATTCTAAACAGCGATGATAAACGAAATAAATCCTCGTTAATATTTTACTCGGGCTTCGACTAAACTGGCTGGCCGAGTGGTTACAGTGTTCGCTTCCATTAGGAATCCGTATCGATTTCGATAAAAATAAAAAGTAAAAGTTACGAGATAACAACACTCGGCTACAACTGGATAATCAACTAAATGGGATACACGTAAGTATTTGAAGAGTCTTTCACAGAAATTATAAAATACCAAAAGTCTTCAGATCAATTCGCAAGATGATTTATAGACTGTTCTCGTGCGACACGGCTTTGACGTCGAGGCCAAATGACGAATCGATAGCGAACGTGACTGAAAGGATGGACTAGACGACGAAAAAAATAACAGTTTACTCTTCACACACGTTTGAACATATTCGCGCGGCGAAGCCGCGATATAACGTCCGCGCTGTGCGGCCCGCGGAGATTCACTGCCCACTTTGACGTACAATCGTTGTGCTTTACGCGCGCACACAGAAGCCCCACACAGCGTACAAAAGACTGTACATATTACACATCGGTGGCTTTTTAGAGCGACGAGAAAAAATAAGTAATTAAACGGTACGTATATATGCACGACTGTCTACCGTCACGGTTTACCGAACGCTGTCTGACAGGCCCAGCGATCTTATTGTTCGATCGCGGTTCCACTGGTTAGAGTTTCCCTTTTCTTTTTCTATAATTCGCATTGTAATTAACATGAAGGAACATGCCACGTCGTTAAATAAAGTTTATGAGGTGTTGTTTTAACGTTAGGCTAATGAGAATGAAAAAGTTCACTTTGATACGATAGATCTTTAGCTGTTGTAGTTCTTACGTACAATTTAAAATTTAGATGTATTGTACATGGATAACTGGACTATTGCATTTTATTTGAAATTAGATATAGACTGTCTGAGACCCTCATTCGATACTTAATCATTGACCGATAATAAAGCACTACAATATTAGGTCTTTATGTGCCATCTCTCACGCCCACTGAATTTAATTGAAACCCACAAGGTTTGTCAACTAGTGTTTGCTCACCGTTAACTCCCATCGCATGGAGCACGTGCGCGCCGGAAGCGCGCGGTCTGGTCGCTTCGTGAAAAGTTAATCAATCGTCTGTCTGACGGTGGCTTAGAGAAAGGTGCGTGTCTGAAAGTGTAGCGCGTGCTCGAAAGCAACTGATAGCATAGTATTTACTACGGTGGAGCGGAGAGCAGGGTAACGCCGGTCGAAGCTTGCAAGCTCTAAGAAGCCTGCGACGAGACCGTGCTTGGTGCTTGCTTGCGAGCAACTTGGGATACGTACTACTTGAAAATAGCAATCACACGCTTCGCGGTGTGCTCTGCTGACATCGAACGTCGCCAGGTTGGCGCTGTCGACGACGAAACGAGGTGTTGGAGGCGTGCCAGGATTCCCTGTTCTCAAAATCCCGCTGGTCCGATCGACCTCTACTCCGTGAATTCGTATCCCCGGATTCTAATGGGCGTCGTCGTCGGGAAAACCGCTGATGAATTGAAGCGATAGAAACGAATAAACGCACTCAATCTGTTCGTGATCACGCTTCGGCCGCGAATTTCTTTTTTATGACAGCGCCTGTTTTTTAAATTCAGATGAGGACGGACCAAGTGGTGGGTGAGAGAGAGAAAGAGACAGGGGTTCCCCTTGAACCCTCTGCTCGGCAGCTCTCCCGCCCCTTTACTACTCGATCGCGACCACCCACGGGATGTTGTCGACTACTGCATTGAGATGCGTCGAGGAAATCGCACTGCTCTCTTCTCCTCTCCCTCTCTTGTCCACCTTTCCCGCGAACCGGTGGACCTGCGCGACTGCAACCTCGCGTTTTGGCAATCACGACCAGAAGCTTTTACAGACAGACGTTTATCGACCGAGTGCAAATTATAAAACCATTTTGTACTTGTTGACAATCCAATAAAATTAAGAATCACGATCAATATCATGTATATTTATTTACAATTTATTGAAAACGATCACCGTGAATGTGCAGTTCACATAAATCTTCGTGAGTCTAGGCACATTAGAATATCGAATTGCTAGAAGGATAAAGTCATTTATTTACATTTTTCAAAAATAATTTTTAGCGTCAGACATTGTACATTACTATTTAAATAAAACGATGAAACATCTATTTCTTCGGCTTCTCGTTTCAATGTCTAATCCTCCTACGTTTTCCGGCTGCACCCTTTTATGGTTTCTCCGGTGTCTCGCGTGTTTCCTTAACAGTTATTGTTCTAAAGTGGAGCACCTCTGAAACAGTCATATCAATTGACAGTTAATTGGAGACGGAAGGAAATTGCGAACGTGTGAAGGATGACCCGCCGTTGTTGAATCAGAGAAGCTGACGCAAGATTTTGCCAATCCCGAAGAAGGCGTGACGATTCGCACGTGGGTTTTTCGCTTATATTGTTTCGCAATGCTTCAATTGCCTCTGATCCCATTGAATATACATATGTATAAATCTTCAGGGTCGAATCTTGAGCTTGACTCGCTTCCTTAAGAGGACATTTTCTGAGAGGAGAATGTACGTAACGTATGCTGCCTTGTTTTAGAAATATACAATTCAATTGCATATATTAAACTTCTGTTATTTGAGTCAGCACTGGAAACGATATATATTTTATCTCGCGACTATTTCTGATTCTATTCGT